ACAAATCAAAGTCTAAGCATAATCGCTTTGATTTATGGCGAACAGTGATATGTTTTTCTCTCAAGAAGTGATTATTTGTGGAGAAGTGATAATGTGATTCCAAAATTCTATATCCCGCTTAAACGAATTGTCTGTTATATAAAGGTCTGATACCTCTTCATCCAATAGTTGTAATAATTGTTCAAACAGAATTCAAATTTTAGATAATTAAAAAAAAATTTAATTTAATCAACATAGCCCAAGAGCCCCAAGGCCCATATTTTGACAATTTTATAAATAAATAAATAAATATATATATATAGAGCTTCTATTGAGGGATCCCTCAAATAAGCTTATTTGAGGAACACCCTGGTAGGGCCCACTCCGCATTGTATTCCACTAATCCAAATCGTCTATTTTTCAGATAATCATTCAAAGATCATCTATACAAAAAATCACTTGAATCCGATATCATTTGACCACTCAATTGAGTTACTGAAATTTTAGTACTTTCTTGAAGCACCGTGTTTATTGATTTTGTAGGACACAATTGGATGTCGAAACAGTTTCTGATTTGTCTAATTCTTTGCAAGGATGATCTATGAATATAAACTTAAAAAATAGATGGTTTGGATCGTTGAAATTTTTTTTGTAGGGTACCCTAAAGGGTGTCCCTTATTTGAGGGATCCCTCAATAGAAGGGGACTATATATATATAAGTTGGTTGATCCGCTACTACTAAAACGATATTCTTTTGTGATAAAACCCTATGCCTAAGTTGGCCTTTGCGTCACATCAATATTATATATACAGCCACATGACTCTGTCTATATTGAATCGTTTCTGATTAAGTTGATGGAAATTGGAAAAGCACCTTCTTTGTATTAATATATATTCTTTGCAAACCTGCAAAAACACATAGCCATTGCAGTGTTTATTGCTCAAAATCATGCTTGCCTTAGTGAGAAACATTTCCTTTTGTTCTTTCGCATTAGAAGTTTAATTTGCAACTTTGTGGGATGCCAAGTTGTAATCTTCTAATGTTTCTGTATTTCTATATTTCTGTTCACCCCTTTTTCTTCTGCAGGGTTAGGACTTGGCCACGAGATTGGTATGAATGGATGTGAAATTTTGCTTGTGATAATGTACAGAATATGCATGTTGTGGTATTTACAACCTTTAAGGAGAATTGAACACCAGATACAACCTTTAAGGAGAATTAAAGACGACTATTTTTAATAAATCCGTCATTTAATAATAAAAAACATGACGCATTCTTTATAAAACTGACATTTTAATTGTCATATGAGGACGGTTATTTTAAAATATCGAACATTTTACTAAGAGTGCTGCTATTTCCATCCACCTATCCTATTTTCCCACCCACTTTATCTTCAAAATTTTAAAAACAAATTTATCCTTGCAAAATGACTTTTAAGGACAAATTTAAAACTCTCTCTATTTATTAATATAAGCTTGACACATCATTAAAATCCAATCTAAGGGTTAAAAGAAAAAGGACACATCGCCACTTTTACTTGAGGAAAATAAAACAAAGGGAATCTAATGTCCCGCTTCTTTCTTCAGAAAGGATGAACAGAACCCACCCAAACTTTGAAACTCAAATATCCATTTTTATTGTCTAGTTTCATGCCATATTGAAATCTAATCCCTTTTCTTTTCCTTCTGGACTAGAATTTAGAATCTTTAGTTTTTTCTACTTGGCTAATTTTTTTTTCAAATCAGACATAATATACTTCCTTCTTCCAAAAACAATAGAACCTTCAACCATATCTAGGCTTTAGAACTCAAAAGACAAAAAGGAATTCCTAATTGAGAGAAATAATTGGAAATAAGATAAAATTAATAGTTTATTTTGAATATCAAAGAGAGAGAGAGAGAAGCAAAGGAACCATTCATGATCATGGGAATCAAAATACAATGGGTTCTATTTGGGTTTTGAGGGTTTATATTTTTTAAGGAAGAGAGGTTTGGGTCGTGGGGGGGAGAGAGAGACTTAAGTGGGGATGGGCTAATTGGAGAATTTTTTTTATTGTAATGGAAAATATGAAAATACAATTAATGTTTTTTTATAAAAAAAATACTAATGATTAGCAAATAGAATTTACTAGAATGAATTGGTCCAAACGATTCGTTTTGGCCAGATTATTAAAGAGAAAAACAGATCGCGCTTGCAGCTGTTGCTCTTCACTCCAGCCTTTCCACGAACAGGTTGTGGGCATTCTTGCCCAGCCACCCAGCAGCCCAAGAGCTCAAAATGGCTGACTTCTATGGCATTTTCAGGCGAGGGGAGGTGCACCTGCGCCTCCTTGCGCCTCTGTGGGTCCGCCACTGTATGGATGGAGTACCTCTAACTCTCCTTTCCCAAACGCCTAAAGCTTTTAGACCCGTACATATTTTATCTTCGTTCTGTATATTTTTGTCAAATCGTAGCACATACAGAAATTAGTAAATATATTTCAAATGCGTAATTAGGTGTACTTGTTGTAACAAGTTTGTATAACTGTTTTTTTTTTTTTTTTGTAAAATTATTTCACTTCTTATTGCACAAATTAATGATTTTTCTGTTCATAATTAGACATGCGGTACATGTTTTAAGCATGAGTACTATAATCTTAAAATTTAGAATTTTCTATTATATATACAAGTGATATTGGGTGAGGGGAAAATCAATTTTAAAACAGATTATGGGTAAATGCCCTTAACTACTTGAGCTACAAACCTCTTGCCTACAAATTTAGATTTAATCACTGTAAAGATGGTTTTGAATTCAATCTTGCTCTTAAAAGTCACTTGAAGTAGATACAAACCAAAAGTAGGGATCATCATTTGCTCCACAGCCTGCAGGCCAAAGCGAGTAGCCCGAGGCCCGATGGGCCAAAGCCCGACCAACCTCAACTTGTTCTAAGAATAGGTAGGGCTTGGGCCAATGGTTTGAAATCTTGGCTAGACCTGTTTGAGGCCATCTAGGCTCGGCCTGGCCATAATAAATAAAATATACATAGAATAATAGAGTTGGCCAAAGAGTGTAGAAGAATAAATAACTAATATTGTAAGTATCATGAATTCATCAAATAAGAGGCATGAATTATGGGTAAATTTGCAATGAGTTAAATATGAAAAAGACAAAATGTAGACAATGATTTTGCACATAGGTGGACTTCCACCTACCAACTATTAAAAGTTGCAGTTGATTATAAATTGGTTTTGAATATCACTTTTTATTTTTATTACACATGTTATGAATTAAATTAATTTCTTCATTGTTGTCTAAAAATTTGCAACAAAAATATTTAATAGAATTAAAAATAAAAAAAAAAGAATTTGCCCACCAAGCCCGTCTAGGCCCCAGCCCAATGGACAGGTTCGGACCAAGGTCTTTGAAACCT